TTTTTCAAACTATTTCTTTTCTTAACTTTGATTCTTAAATTTTATTTTAAGTTAGTAAGAAATGATTACATATTTGTAGTACATTATATATAAAAGATAAAAATGCTAAAATATATAAATATTGGGTACCTGCTATATGTTAAACTATTATTTATGTATTGGGAATATACCAATAAATAAACCAGACAAAAATCTTTATCCATCTAAAGCATACGATGTAGTATGTAGCGGTAGGCCATAAACAAATGTATAGTAGGGCTCTCCCTGGTGGCGTAACGGGTTAAAGCACTGTATTATGAAGCTCTCCAAAGCCACTACAGCATAAATTCAATCCCTGGCCAGGGAGCTGACCCACATGGTATGGCAGACCTCTCCTGACCTGCCTACTGCTCCCCTCATAAGTGTACTTTGTCAATCTGCCTGTTCTGCTCCACATTCTGTCTCTGGTGAAACCTGTCACCCACCACAGCTCTGGCCTGTACCCCAGTTCTGTAAGCATAAATATATAAATTTTTAACAACAAAACAAAACAAAGCAACAAATGTATAGTATGTTGATTTGGTGGTGCTACATGGAGCATAAAGCAAAAGCCAAAAAAAAAGGAAGTTACGATAAATATAGATGGTGCAATTTAAAGCCAGCAGTGCAATTTAGTACCTTACAAAATGGGAAAAGTCCCACTGAAAAGGTGACTGTTAGTGATATTGAGCACTTTTGATATGCCATCTGTATGTCTTCTTTGCTGCCAACTTTTAGACTGGGTTATTTACTTTTTTTGTTGTTGACTTGTATGAATTCTCTGTAGATTTGTGATATTGACCCCTTGTCAGATGTAGGATGTACAAATATTTTCACCCATTCAGTAAAATTTCAGCTAAATGGTCATTTAGTTTTCTGTGAAGCTCTTTAGTTTATATAGTTGTACTTGTGCATTTTTGCTTTTGTTTCTCTTGATGTTTTAGTCAAGTCCCCAAATACTGATATATCACTAAGGCCAATGTTTTGGAGTGTTTTGCCTGTGTTTTCTTTGTGTACTTCATGGTTGCAGGTCTTACATAGAAGTTTTTAAGATAGTTTGAGTTAATTT